GGTGTAACAGGGGAATAACAAACAAACAGGGAAGCACATATGTTTCATTCCATTTAATAGCTGGTATCCGAGTGTGAATAAACATTTCCTATCACACCTTTTGATGGCTGCCACAACAAGATTTCAAAGAGAGAGCTCCTTCTTCCCAACAAAGTGGAAGTTGCTCTTGTGCGAGCAGAGACACATGAAAGAGCTTCGCAGTGTGGTTGCAGCACAGCCCCAGACCTTGTGAGCCACGAGGATTTATATGCCATTAAATAATTAACTGGATGATGCATGAGGGAAAGTAACTCTCTGTAAAGGACCTCAGTTAATTGTGCTCAGTGCAGCAGGCACCGAGTCTTCATGATGAGATATAAAGAGGTGAACTTTGTTTCAGAGATGCTCTGATAAATACAGTCATAAAGAACATGGGAAATGACTTGTTCAGGTAAGACCTTTCTTTGCTGCAGTGGTTTTTGTGTTGCAGTGTCTCTGGCTTAAATTAACTGACATAATCAGCTGCCAAACTAGGAGCCTGGCCCTTGTGCTACTGTATTCCCTCTGTACTGTTCTCTCTCCGCATGCATTCCAGGGACAGTAAGAGGCATATCATGTCTGAACTATGGATTTTTCATCCATGTATTGCCTGCCTTTTATCTTGCAGCATTCACAAGCTGGTCTAAGCAACGTGGTTTAAACTGTCTGCCACATTCTGCCACCTCTCTCGGGATTATCCTTTAGTCTAATAGGATATAATTCCTGTGCGTGTAAACCTCTCTGTGCTTCATTTAATCCCACTAGTTTTATTCAGACTGAGCTGCATCACCCTTAAACCTTCCTATCTTGGTACTCACAGCCTTTCCCAGGCTGCTCCTGCAGAGACTGGGTGGAGGAACTGGAAGGCTCAAACCCTACTCTCAATCCCCAGGGCATCCCACTACACTAAACTCAGTAGCTGGACAAGCCATTGAGAAGAAACAGAGAACAGTCAACAACTCACTCACTGTCCCAGCCTCTTACAAGCCCCAGGCCAGCTCTGAGGTCTGGCAAATAGGATTTCAGCTACATTTAGGGTACAGCTCCCTGTTGTTATTCCAACCCCTTGTCGATTTGGTGACTGAAAACTGCTAATGGTAGAAAAAGGCAGCAGTGAGGTATCCACTAGTTCAGGTTTCTGGTTAAAGATCTTCAGCCAGAAGGGAGGATTTCTAATTCTGGATTTAACATGGGTGGAAATGAAGGCACTTAACAGAGTTGACTTCCAGCTGCGCAATTTCTGTGCCAGTGACCATCAGCCCATGGTGCCCATAACACTGAGGAGGATTAGGATTATATGATCCAGATGGGGCTATTTTAGCCAGGGTGCTGCTTCGTTACTTAAAAGGCTACAAAAAGAGGACTAATCTGATGCCATCTGCTCAGGATGAGGTGAGAAGAACTCTTCCAGCATCTTATGTTGACCCCTGCCCGCTGGGCTCACACTGGTACCCATTCCACTCCCACTTAATTGCATGCTGTCACACTTACTGCTGGTGCCTCTGAACTGGCACCCGAAGGCTGGAGCATGGCTGGAGAGAAATGCTCTTCTCCGTTCAGCAGATGGCACAGCCCTGGCCAGCAGGAGAGACAAGTTGTGGTGAGTGTTGAAGGGATGCTCTCTGCCCTCTTTCCAGCACTTCCTTTCTGAGAGGATCAGGCATTGGAGGCTGTCTGGGGCTGTGGAGCTCTCACCACTGGGAAGACTGCTTTCCAGTATGACCTCGAAACAAACAGCTTCCCAGTGTGTGTGAGGCAGCACAGCAGGGCACTACCAGCTCTGTACTCATTCTGCTACTGATGATGCAGTAGGAAGAGAGGCAGAGAAAAGCTGATCCTGCAAGACTTGTGCGCAGAGGTAGGGAGGAGACACCAGCATCAACTTCCAGACTGGAGGTAGGTGTCTTCCAGCCATGGTCTGGAGAGGACAGCTCGGATCAGAATGGCAGCTTCAGAGCTGGATGCCACGGTGTGGCACAGCACCCACCGGATGATGTGCATGGTGGCATGCTCTGGGTGTTCCTCTGTCCCAGCTCCATAGCAGGAGGCAGGTCCTCACCTTCTAGGAAGCGTGCATTGCCAAGCACTTTATTCTCTCACCTTGGCTACCTTATTAGTAGGCAGCACTGTCGGGTCAGGAATAATGAAGTCATACAGTGAGCTGTAGATAATCATTGCTCACTCTCCACAGTCTCTGCTTCTGTGGTAAAGCCAGAGCTACTTGCAAAGCCAAAAATCACCTTGATCATGACAGTGAAAGGAAAGGGTGCATCTAATGGGCCCTTAATTGGGTGGGATTGACAGGTGGATGAGGTTCTCCCTGCTTGAGGCTTTGGAAACCAAAAGGAACGGGCTCTCCACGCAGGCAGTTGCATCAGCTGTGGTCTTCATGTGGGCTGCTTGGAATGAGCTTCATTAATGTTTCCTGTGGTATAATCCATCATCCCTTCAACAGTGCATTCCTGACAGTTAATTGGACTCCACGGAGTGGAATAAGGAGTGTCGTGTTTGGAATGACAATCCATTACTGAAACCAGGCCACGTGAGGCACATCTCCAGCCCCAGCTCTTGGACATCTTCAGCGGATTTCCTTCCCAAAGCTTGGAAAACTCTTTAGTGAACGGTTCTGCAGCACGTTTCTAAGTGGCTTCATTACAACGAGGAGTCAGGAATCGGGGACCACCCCTTCATTAGCAAAGGCCAAGTGTCTAACTACCCTGGACCAAGTTCACTACATTAGAGAGGAAATCCTTGTCCAGTTGATGCTCCTGCTGACTGCAGTGGGGCCACAACTTGACATGAGAAATCACTTACACGGACCACACTACAACAGGGTGCAAACTGCTGCATCTGGATGACTCAGGGTGTTTGCTCTTTGGAAAGGTGCTGTTATCTTCTGGATATGCAGAAGAAAAGCAGGAATTTGAGAGTGGCTTCGAAGCACAACTTCCATAAAGAATATCACACTGAAAAACACTAATAGTGATGAGGCTGGGTTCAACACCAGTGACTTGGCTAGATTAGGAAATAACTGTGCTGCACAGCAAGTGATGCTAAAAGGGAGGGCAGAACTGGCTCTGTGATGAACATAGAAGACAGGAGAGATGTTCTTCAAGAAGTCCTCTGCCTGCAAGTGCTCAGGTGTCCGCTTGCTTCAGACACACAACAGTGCTGCTACCTTGAGGCCCCTGAGCACAAGCACACTGTTCCTACAGCTGGCAATCACATCCAGTGTGACAGAGTGTCAAGTTTAAACAGACCTTTCCACATCTGGCATCATTTCCCTCTTTCTCCTCAATCTTAACTGTTCTTTTACTTACTGCTTATCTAGGCAGCATTTGAAAGATGCAAATAATCAGTCAAACATGACTGTGAATCTTCCATTTGAAAGCTCATTCAGCCATCTGGAAGTATCCTCATCTCCAGATGTTCAAAGGAGAGCCTGTGCTTCACCTTCTTACCCAGCCAGTCTCTTGCAACTCTGCCCACAGATCCAGATAGAAAGCACAGGGGGACGCTGCCTCAGGAGCACAGTGCTGAGCATCTCCGGTTTTATCAAACTGCTCCGAGTTACAGCTCCTACTTCCAGCACTGATTTCAGTTGTTATGAGGCTTTAAGCAAGCCACTTAGAAGAACAAGGGCTCCCAAAGATCAGATCATTGCATGAAGGGCACATGAGTGATCCCTATGTGTTTTTGTGGGCCAAGCCTGAAGTGGTTTTAAACTACAGTCGTTTTCTTCTTCAAAGATACCTCTTCCCCCAGGCAGAGCTGCCCCACCTGTGAGTGCAGGCCAGGGATCACAGAGAGACAGGGTTCTGGGCAAAAGCCTGCTTCTGATGTCCCTCTTTGCAATGGTCCCTCCGGTGTCAATGAGCTCTCACGGAGAGCCACAGCCTGCCCTCCTACTGCACGAGCAGCGCGTGTGTGTTTAGATGAACAAGCTGTAGCAGCCTCGTTCTGCACAGTGCTCCTTGAATGCGAGCAGGGAGCAGGAGGAAGCTTTTCCACAGCATGGGGCCAGTGGAGCTGATTTGTGCACACAGAGACGTGGCACTGGGGGGGATGCATCAGGTCTCTGTGTGCACAGAGCGTGGCCCGTGCACTCTGCAGAGCTCCGGTGGATGCTGCTCTCCCTGAGCAGTGGCTGGGAAGCTGTGGAGCACTGGCAGAAGGCTGAACCCCCACACAGGGTGTTACAAGAACACTGACAGCAAAAAAAGAGCCCGTTTGAATACTGCCGTTTGTTTGCTGCCACAGATTCAGTGGCTAATTCTCATTTCTCCGTCACCTGCACAGTTATCACCAGAAAGGCACCAAGAACCCGGGTTCTGCCTTTGTACTTGTCCTCTTTTTGGATGGGCTAAAGAAATGTATTACGAAATATGTCTGCAAGAACAGCACGGGCCACAGAAGCTGACACCAAGTGTCTGTATAAGCTGAGCTATCCTGGGAATGTTAAAGGAAGCTGCACCTTCAACTTGGAAACGGAATCTTTGCTTTCATTTTATTATGCTCAACTTCCAGACACAATGTAGAGAAGGGAGTGAGCAGAACTGGAGCAGAAGAGTAGTTACGCAGCTCTCAGTGCTCCTGATGCTCATTCATTGATCATTTTGGGTGTAAATCACATTGATTATGGTAATGAGAAAGCCGAGTGACAAGCCCTGTGAGAGGCAAGCTTCCCAGGCCAGCATCTGCGTGCCTGAAAGCTGGGTGCAAAGCACTGCTGGAATTCACACAACTGATGGAACTGATGCAGTTTTCCCCCCTGAATATCCCAGTACATCTGGACCACTAATGAGGGTGCTAAATCAGACAGAGCTCTGCATTTCACACATGGAAAAGCTGAAGCAGAGGAGGACCTGCTTTGTCCAGGGACACTCTAAGGATGTCTGTGGCAGAGCCCAGACTGAACTCACGTTTTACAACAGGTTTTACAAACTGAACTCGGGTTTTACAGCTCCCTCGTCAAGGCCCGTTACAAAAAGAGCATCTCTGGTAAGACTGAATGCCTCCAATCCCGTTGTATCCGTGCTGGGGAAAGCCAATTTCCCAGTGTAACCTTTGTCAGCAGTGAATCGATGCGGGGTTGATATTGGAAAAGTTATGAACTTCTTTTGCCAATCTCTATTAATAGTCCCCCCTGGGAAAATAGGTCAGCAGCTTTTCACAGGGATGTTCTGAGGACAGATACAGGAAAGATGCTCTGATACAACATACAGGATAGCAAACGACAGCTAAAGTGTAATTGGAATTCCACAGCAAACATTACCAGTACTGCATTTCTTCTGGTGCAATCAAGGATAGCTGCTATTTCTCTTGAAGCCCCAGCTCCTGCATTCATGTCAGTAAGTGTGAATTAGGCTTTCAACTTCTAACCACCAACACATTAGAAACAGAGAGGGTTTTAGCATCTGCTATCAGATTTGAAGCACGAGAGAAGACACCTTTTGTCTTTACATCACTGGTAAATACTTTGTGCCTGTTTTACTTACCACAAGGTTCCACAACATTAGTGCAGAATGGAAATGTCATGCCTGGCAGAGAGAGGACTGTGGCTCCTGTGCAAATCCTTTCCACGCTATAAATACAGATCTTCCCCCATAATTGCAACACAATCTCGATGTGCCTGTGGTGATAAGGGGGAAAAAAAGAGCTGTTTAATTTAATTAGAGTCCATTTGAAAACCCACTAGCATGAAATAATTTGATACACAGAAATAACCCTCCCCAGCTACAGACACCGTTTCATTGTGTCTTATCTTGGGCTAACAGGAGCTGTTACATTTCAGACCTTGAACTGTATAAACAGTGTGACCAGAGATAGCCCCAGGAACATTTCAGATGCTGTCAGGATATCACCGCTTCTTCAGCTCCCTCTTCTCTGCCAGGCAAAGATGCTAAAGCTGCTGCTGGGGTAAGGGAGATTGAAGCTAATTCCTGTCCATGCACACAGCAGCAGCTCTCTGCCCTCCAACGCATCTCCAGGGAAAGGCTCCTTTTCCTGTGCTGGCATAAGGGGGCAATGCTCTGCGGAGAAGGCACTCACACTGTTTGTGGATGCACGTTTCCTTGGAACACGTCCTGCACTTGTTTGCGCACTGCTTTGTTTCTTTGGGGCTAATGGTAACTGCACTGAGGAGAGCAAAGTGTCTGCAAATTCTGCAGATAGCAAAGTTATCTGCTATTCAAAATGAGCCTTTCTTTGTTTTTGATACCATTTGGCTTCCAGCTCCATTGTCTGGTTTTGGAAAGCAGAGGAGCAAATCCTATAACCATACATTCCTCTCTTGCTTTGGCGGCACAAGCTTTCTAGGAAGGGAAGCAGGAGCCAGCTGCTTATCGAGGATGCTCTCTTGTATATCACAAATGTTACATTCACCGTGACATACGTGACGTTTGCCTCTATTAAATCCAGTCATCTCAGCTGCAGTAAAGCATTTCCGTATGCTAGGGGTCAGCTGTGGTTTGGTATCGCAGATCTTGTAATGTGACTTCCAGGAGCATAAACGGGCAACCCCCTCCCACACTTCTTACCCTTCAAAAGGAGCAAACCCTGCTTCTGTGTCACTACGGCTCCAGAAACATGCTTTCATGTATGTGTGCCTGTGAGAGACTATTTATAGACGTGCAAAGTAAAGCTGCAGGAACCTTCTCCATGACAAGGCAGATACACGCGGAGCTAAAGCTATAAAAACAGCTTGTGTGTGCATTTCTGTATATGGGTATTTGCATGGTGAGAAAGATACAGAACTTAAACCTATAAAGGGGGTGCGTGTGAGGAGCAGACAAGGGAAGGGAGGTTTAAGGCTATAGGAAATACTTTGTGTGAATAAAAGGGGGATAGACTCAGAAGTAAAACCACAGAACCTTTCTTCTGTGTGTCATAGGAGAGACCTGGGAATGAGCAGCCTCTGAGACGGGTGAATTGTTCCTCCTCCTTTCTTTCTGCTCCCATCATTTTAGGGTACATCTGAGATGGTTTTCCCCTCGTAGCATAGAAATTCACTGATTTCCAAACGTGGTTTAAAGAGCAGGGAATTTAGGAGCTTGCAATATAGAGCCCAGCACAGCAGACGCACTGAGGAACACTCTGGCAAGGGACTAAGGGTCTTCTTTTGCAAAGCCTGGACAAGAACCTGCAAATGCTGTTTAGGAAATACAGAGCCATCTCCTGGCACTGCCTGTCAATGGGGATGGCACTGAGCAAGGCAGTCTCAGAGAGCCGTGCAGCCATTACTATGCAGTACCAGTATTTACGTTGTCATTGGTATTCAGGAGTCTTAGCCAGGGAATGGAGGTTCCACTGGGCCATCTCCTGCTACAGGTTGTTTTTTGACCAGTCACAGCATAGTTGGGGTAAGGAGATGCTGAAGTGGGTGCGCTGTCCTGGCGGATATTGCTGATTCCTGGTTTAAAAAGAAGAAAGGAAAAAAGCCCGTGGCAAAACCACAAACCAAGCCAGCAGGAACGGCATTAATGTCGGATTTAATGGCTATTAAACTGGGGCTGGGAGGAGCAGGTGATCATACAGCTCTGCTCTTGATTTGAAGCAATTCAAACCATCTGCCAAGAAGAGGGTTCAGGTCAGTACCCAGGTGAGGTGCAGCACAGAGCAGACCGGTGCTGTGTTCTGTTTCTGTCTTGGCCAGAGGCCACAATCAGCATCGACACGATCAGATCATGAACTGTGGCAAAGGCTGAAAGGGGACCCCAGGTCCAGGTACCCCACTGTGCTCATCCCAACTCCTTCCTCTCCTTTCCCAGTCTTCCCAGCCAGCTCCCTTTGGCCCACAGGCTCCAGTGCAATTGCAGCACCTCCACACTCAGGCTGCAAACGTGACCTATCCCTCCTCACCTCCCGTCCAGTTGCATCTCCATAAACCTCCATTGGTCTCTGAGGACAGCCCAGTTTTCTCCCTTTATTTATCTACCTGTCGACTCACTTTACAATCTCTCTCTGGACGGGCACAGAACAAGAGACAGAACCAGATGCTGTGGCATGCACTGAATGCCAACTAGTCTTCATGCAGTGGAAAGGTCCCTCTGCAAACACGCCTGTGATCAAAGGGCTGATGCTCGCTGGTACTTTCAGTATTAATAATCTCCCAGCTGCCTCTCTCCATTCTCTGGCTCCCTCTTTACCTCTCCAGAGTTCACAGAGAGGCAGAGCTTAAAGCAGGGAGTTGCTTGAAGGAAAGGAAGGTTGCTTAAACCAGGACTAAACCACATTGACACTGCACAGAAATGCATCAAACATGTAAAAAATCATTGTAGCGCCCTATCCTGCACCTGGCACAGGCTGAGGCATCTGAAGATATGTGCCTGCATGCATAAAACATAATGTATATCCACATCCCCACTCCTTCACGATCCAAGCGCTGCTTATGTTCCTGTGCCGCACCTCCCTTCCCATCCGTGTGCAGATATATGGAATCAGGGAATCAAAATGTCGCTGCTCCATCAGTCAGCCCGAAACCTTGCTGCCCAAAGTTAGTGCACAAGCAAGGGACTCCCAGAAGCAGACAAGCAGTTGGCTCTTCCTGGAGATGGTTTGGAGATGTGGAAGAGTAGCAAGGAGGCAAAGGAGCTGTACACAAATAGCAGAGTAGCACTGAAAGACAGTGAAGGGGAATCTTTGGGCCACGTGCTGGCTGAGAGAGAGCCAAAGGTGCCAGGAAAGGGACTGTTTCCTGTCCTGTGACTCCTGATGGGCTCTGCTCTTGGTCCATCTTGGTCCATCAACAGCACGGCATCAAAGACCCCTGAACTCGTTGCCAGTCTCTCCCCCTAAGAGCTGTCCTTTTGCTGAAGGAGAAAGCATGGATAAAAGCTGGTAATAAACTCTGCAGACAGCAGGCAAATGTCATCTGTCACTGAAGCACAGCCAGCACGAGCAGCGGCCACTGCCAGAGACACAGAAACACACCACATCAGCCTGGAGCTGCGGGATTGAGCCAAATGGAGGGAAGGAACCCGATAAACTCCCTGAGGTGTTACACAGGTACCTGCTTCAGGAGTCACAGCTACTGGAAACAATCTGGGTCAATCCATCAGAGCCTGACAGTGGCACACAACAGGACTAATGCCGACTTGCCAGTTTTTATCACTACAAATAGCTTGCTTGAAGGATCCTGGTACTTCAGGACTTTCCAAACTCAAAGGTCAGAGAGGAACTGCTGAGAGGAATCACAATCAGAATGTTTCCGAAGGGGGAGAATCCTTCCATAGGAAACACAAGCCTGGACTGACAGATGCCCATGGCATCACCGTGCTATGTGCTAGCTGGAAAACTGCCCTCCGTTTCCAGACCCCATTTTAGGAGCTGCATTTCCACTGGGGATTTCAGGCTATCTCAGTGGCTGGTTTGTCACCACATTCCTCATCTATGCAAAGCACGGGGGATGTTTATTTATTGCAAGGATATTGTGTTGTATTGCTCCAAGTGCACTTTAGAAGCCTGCTTCTATAGGTTAGGATTTCACTTCCTTCCTTCCCTGCACAGTACGTAAATGCCATGTCGGGACAGCAGGACTGGGATTTTCACTCCTGATACGCGAGGACGTGGGCATTTCAGAAAGGAAACCAAAAACTTCTTCCTCTTGGCCTCTGATACTAGGAGACTGCAGTGAGGCACCCAGGCCTGTGATTCCCACCATCATTCCTTCAACACAGACAGACCATCAAGTTAACATTCCTGGAACTGGCAAAGCTCTGCTCCAGTGGTCCTTGCTGTGCCCCCTCTGCTAAAGACAAGGCTGGAGGCACTCAGAATCATCCTGTCCAAGCAAGAAATCCCTGGAGCTCTCCAGCATCCTGCCCTTACCAGTGACACACATCCATCAGCTGCCCTGGGTGCTCGCAGGACACTTTCCTGGCTTAGCAGAGGCTGTTCATTGCGAATCCCCATTGCACTTGGTGGTGAAAAATCTTCCTCCAGGCTGGCAGATGGGCAGGGAGGAGAGGTGCAGAGTGAGATCCAGACATCTGCTCCTGCTCTCCTTCACCCAGGCTCTGCTCACAGACCCCACAGAGCGAGGGAAGGAGAAGATGCTGTTGGCAGCAGTTTACTCCAAGATGTTTACAGCATAGAAACTTGCTACCAGCAGCCATGCCCCTTGTCAGCGAGCCCAGCTCAGTGAATGCTCTTGTTGGATGAGCGATGCTAGACCTTGTTGGATGGAGTGATGATCAGAGGGGGCATGCCAGAAAGAAACAGAGGAAGCATGCGATGGAGCACAGAAGTAGAACGAGCACCGACTATGCTCCTTGACACTTCATTGTCTGCTATGGCCATCAGGTGATCCTTCTTTCCACATCTTCCTTCAGCCAGCAAGAAACAATAAGGCACAGAAACAGCAGCAGCAAATGCCCTATCCGTGCCCTGCTTGGGTCTGAAATACCTACAGACTCATAGCTATGGAGAATGCCAGGCAGGGAGAAAGCTCTTTCTTTTCAGTTATTCTTCATGAATTAAAACCCAAATGACAATAAATGATGCTATAACACGTCAAATGGCATTTGCTTTTATCAGAACAGAAACGAAGCCATGCACACATAGAAGATAAAACAAAGAAGGAGATAGAAAGAGCATGAAAAGGATGAGAACCGCTTTGTCTTCTCTTTCTGTGCAGTTGAGAGGAGTCAGGCGTTGCAGATAGCTGGGCTGCAGCATTCAAACCTAGAGAGCTCTGTGAAATAACCCTGCCCACAGGCTTCCCAGCATGAGGCCCTTCACATCAGACACTCAGGAGCACCTAACAACTGAAGGGTGCTACTATAGGTATGTTTTAACTCCCGTCCAGAGCTCGGGCAGGATGCAGATGTGGACACTGAATGTGGACTGGGCTTCGTAAGCATCTCAGCACACAGGAGCTTTAAGCCATTTTTAATGTTAACAGCGTGGCATTGTCCTTAATTTTCTTGTCCTCCACAGGAAGGTGTCTACCTCTGGAAGTGAACAAACACAGCACAGACCCTTCCTGGGTCAGAGCACACAAACCCATCTCCTTTTCAAAGGCTCCTGTGCAGAGGACTCCCACTATAAAACACCAGAGTTCAGCAGGCAGAGGCAGGTTTAAGTCCCTACTTTGTCCTCTCTGCACATTAGACTTTAAAACCGACAATAAAAAGGCTGAAAGGGGAACTTGAATAAACCCATTTCCAAACCCGTTGGAGATGTCAATGGCACAGCCTCCTGCACAGCCACTGCACTTCCTGCACACATGTAAGTACCGCTGATGCCCTCAAACACAGACTTGCCTTCTTCCCTCAGCTCTGTTATACCCTAATGGTATAGAAACGCCACAGCCTCTCTCTTACTAGATGACCAGGGCAGGACGTGTATCTCCTGAAGCTGATGGTCTTGGCCAGAGGGTGGGTGTAAAAGAGAGCACAATTAAGAGTGTGCAGTGCCCAGGAGCTGGGTACAGCAGGACAAACTCCTGCGCCCACCAAAGCTGCTATCAGAGATGCGTCAACACGAGCCATGTGGAAAGTACAGTGTCATGCTCACGTCTTTCACTGACTGGGTTCCAAACTTGCTGTAAAGAGCTGTAATACACATAGCTTTCTCCGGAATCTCTTTGGAGGCCTCATTCTATCCTGCCCTTAGGCTTCTTCCCACTCAAGGGTGCTGAGATCTGGTCTAACTGTGATTCACTGCAGTTTTAAACCCTATTACCCCTCAGCATGGTGCTGTAGAAATCAACGCAGGATCTTTCATTTTCTAGACAAAAGTATTATCTGAGTTCCTTTCACAGCCTGATTATTGCTTAGCAAATATCATGTTGTGATGAGTATTTATGGATAATTCTCAGATAATACCCAATTAGATGGGTAATACTTCTAATGATGGGAAAGCCTCAGACATTCAGAGTCCAGGTTCTTTAGACCATCCCCGAATCCTACATACTTCCAAGAACATGTAAACTGAGCTAGGATTTATGGGATTTTGACTATTTCTACACACAGCTCTTGCTGCAGCATCTTAGGCTGCTCACTGGGGTTTGGATTCACACATAGGGCTGGACTGCTTTGAACTTCGAGTGTCCTGACATAGCTCTAAACCTGATGAACTCACCAGATAACCTCAGTCTGTGGATCATGTATAGGAGAGAACAGGCAGAGCTCTCAGGGAAAGCAATCTAAGAGGAAAATGGGCTATGCTAAATGGAGGAAAAGGCTTGCCTCAATTGGGATTCCTCATTTTCCAAACCATACAATGGGATGGATAGGGCATGGAGAAGAGAAAGGGCTGCAGGGGAGAAGTTAGCTCTGTCTCTCTCAACCGCTGTGAACTGGAGACTGCTCTTTGCTGCAAGCCCTTCCCTGCAGTGCTGTGATGTGCAGCATGCCAAGCTGCACGCAGACTGGGAGCAATCAGATGCACAAACTGTGTTTCCTGGGC